AAACTTCAGAAATTATTTTCTAGCGACAATTGCTCTGAAGTAATAATTTTGTTTTTAATCATGGTGGGAATTGTTTTATTTCATTTATTAATTAGCAGTAACTTAGTGGATTCTGGAAAAATTACGGCCAGCATTTGCTCATTAAGTGGCACAAATGTAAGTGATGTCAATGGTAATTTTTATCGACATTTTGTATCCGTGTGATTTTAATTAAATTAATGTGTACGTTTGTAATTAATATTTACTAACAATTAATGAGAGATCCGCAATAAATAATTTTTAATTTTTAAATGAAAATTTTTGCTCTAATAAATTTCTTAAAATTAAAAGAAAAATTTTTAGTATCTGCGCTTTAGAGGCTACTAAATATGCGACTATTTTAGAAAAATATTGTATTAAAACTGGAAACTCTGAAGGTCATATAATAAACCATGATAATTTTTTTTATGTACTAAACAGAAAATTAAAAGGCGACAGATAATAATTACAGTTTTTTTTGGCTTTTAGTGTTTAACAGATATGGACTGTTGCTCTAAAGTATGCTATGCAATTCCTAGTACTACACAGTAAAAAATATTTTGTATTTGTGTCGAAAACGGTTTGTGTTAAAAATTGTAGTGTGTTAAAATAACACAAAGCTTGTGTCATTTTCTTTTGTAACATAAAAAATGTGTTATATACTCTTTATTAATATATTTTGTATGTTACTGGGCAATGAACACAAATTTTGTGTCAAACTCGTCATTAATATAACATCAACTTTGTGTTGACAGCCCGTCGATTCTTCACTTTACGCAGCAAACGTTTTCACGAAAATATAATAAATATTAAATAATAAAGACAATTAAATTTATAACTCGGCTGCTTCACTTTTAAAATCTATAAATTATTTTTTGATTTAATTATTAAAAATTTTTCATACTTTCTTCCTTCCAATTATTTATAGTCGGTATTTGTTGATGTTTCGTTAAAATGTAAATGATAAAAACAAACATTTTTAAATAAATATTATTTACTGCAGTTGAGGAAATAAAAAAAAATTATTTTCTAGGTTATGTTATAGGCATCAAACAGTTGATGAAAATAATAAATAAATTTATTTAACATTTATTTTGTGTTAAGATTGACACTTTAGAAGTGTATGATTCTTTGCGCCCTCTTGTGGCGATATTTCAACATAATCTTTGTGTTAAAAAGGGGTTACACAAAATTTGTGTTGAAATTTCAACACATATTTTGTGTCAACCATTTTTAACACACAAACTGTGTTGATTTTACACAATATTTTTTACTGTGGAGGGTTTCATATTTGATAGTACTTATTTTAGACCTTTTAATCTCGAAGAAATAATTTTTTTGATTGTGTGAGATATTAATCAGGTTTTAATACAAATTTCTTCTTAATAGAGTAATTATACTTAAAATTTTAAAAGTGTTTGTGCAAATAAATTAATAACAAAATTTAAATTTGTAAAAATTATCAGGATTGATGTTGTGTTTTGTGATATTTTTACAATTATTTGAGAATTAAAATTTTTAATTACTTAAAATGTATTATCGCTTTATCTTTGTATAAGATCTTTGGATAATCCTTGATAATATTGTGACATTTCCTTGAATAAAAAAAAGTATTGAGACACAGAAAAAAATGTTGAAAAGTATTGGATTGACTAGAAAACCAACACTTTTTTTTATATTATAACTTCAACCTCTTCCCATAAGCTTCAGATCCTTATCTATTAGCCTAACGGCTAGGATAAAAATAATTAAATTTTAGTTGCAAGTTCGACGTAACACAGGGTTTGTTTTAATTTAATTGTTTAGAGCATTTGCAGCATTAAATAATTTAAACTTAGGCGCTTTGCCCTTTCAAAAAATATGTTATAAAATATGTAAAACATAAATAAAAATTGAATGAAAGTTTGTGAACTGAGAAAAAATTCCGAAATTGTTTTATTTTTAATTGTCTCAAAAATTTTTGACTTACTGGCTGTTATTCATAAATAGCGATCGATACACTGATAAGAAAGTTAACTTGATTTAAAAAATAAAATTTTGAACCAAGAACACCATTTTGAAGAAAATGTGTTTTTTGAGTCAAGAGACAATATTTTTAAGTCAAGAACAAGTTAACAAGTCCTTCATGAAAATTTGATTTCCGTATTATCTACTATTCCTTGTAATTAAAATAGAAAATTTTGTTAATAAATTATAACATAAAATCCTAATACTGAAATAAGCAGATATCTAATAATTCTTGGAATTTTTATGACAAATCAAGTATTGTAAATAAATTTTTTTTTTATTTTTTAAAATTTCTACTTGTTGAATTTTCTTGCTAAATTTTTTTTCGTTATATTTTAATTATTCTAAAAATCTAAAAATTTTTTAGTTGTTTGTCAAATTCATTATCACATAATTTTAACACTTTCGACATTTTCATTGAATAAAATTATCAGTTTTTAATTTTTGACTTGGTCAACCCACGAACATATTTTTTGTCTCACATCATAACAATCATATCAAAAAAAGAGGATATTTTTAATTTTATAGAGAAATTAAAAAAAATTTTTTTTTTCAATATAAATAAATTATTAGCTATTTAACTAATAATTACAAATTTGAAGCAGTTTCGAATACTGAAAGGGAAAGAGTAATTAATTGGCATATAATTATATTATGAATAACAAAATATTTCGCGCTTATTCTTTTCCGGTATAAATTACTAAATTAAGTAAATTTACTTTATAATAACAAAATTATTTTAGAAAAATTGCATTTATAATGTCTTAGAGCATCTAATGACAAAATTTTTCAAATAAATTTTTCTTGCTATAATTTATTTGTTACAAAAATTGTAACAATTAAGATACCTCTCAATTTCAGTATCATGAAAAATCTTTTTTACCGGTAGATCAAAATATAGAAATTTATATCTATTTATTCCCTGATAGCCAGCGCTTTCTCAGTAAGTGTTGACTTCCAACAGTTACGGTTAATTTATCCATCAAGTTGGCGGTAATTCTTCACTCAACAACAGTTGTAAGCAAATTGACGGAAATCTACGGCCGCAACTTGAATACAAGTTAACAATCAAACTTGTAGTTAAATTTCCTTTCAACTTTACTACAATTTGACGGAAATACTTGTACAGCAAGTTTTGACGTTGAATCAAGACGAAAAATTCTTAAATCAAGTTGAAATTATTTAAACGAAGAAAAATTTCTTGGTTTAAGAATTTTTTTACTTAAATGAAGGAGATGAAGTTCTTCAAAATTATTTACTCGATTCACGTTAATTGTTTTTTCTGTGTTGGCTTATTATCCTTGGCCCAAGGCCCAGACAATATTCAACTGATGTCTTGGTTTGCTACTCCTAGATCAAGATCTAGCCAGTGTCTATGTAACAAGTCTTGGTTTGCTAGTTTTGAACCAAGACCTAGCCAATGTCTATGTAACGAGTCTGGGTTTGCCAGCCTTGGTTCAAGAGTTAACCAATATTTAATTAACAAGGCTTCACAGAAAAAAAAAGTTAACTTGAATCAAGTGAAAAATTCTTGAACCAAAAGAAAATAATTTTGAAAAGTTTTATTGTCTTGAATCAAGACGAAAAATTCTTAAATCAAGTTGAAATTATTTAAACGAAGAAAAATTTCTTGGTTTAAGAATTTTTTTACTTAAATGAAGGAGATGAAGTTCTTCAAAATTATTTACTCGATTCACGTTAATTGTTTTTTCTGTGTTGGCTTATTATCCTTGGCCCAAGGCCCAGACAATATTCAACTGATGTCTTGGTTTGCTACTCCTAGATCAAGATCTAGCCAGTGTCTATGTAACAAGTCTTGGTTTGCTAGTGTTGAACCAAGACCCAGCCAATATCCAATTAACAAGTTTTGGTTGATCAGTCTTTATCCAAGATCTAGCCAATATCTTTGTAACAAGTCTTGCTTGCCAGACTCGGGACAATTAAGAGCCAGCCACTATTGACATTGTTAAAACTGTAAATTTGACAGTTTTTCTGTCATTTTATTGTTGTTTTTTTTTCAAATGCTTAAATTGAAAATTTATTAATTAACAAAAATAATTACATATCGTCAAGATTGATACAGTCTTAAAAAAATTAAAATATAATAATTTACAGTGGAATTTAGTATTGATAATTTTAAATATTAAAATTTATAATAAAATATTAAAAGTATACAGAACGATGTATAAATTCTAAAGTAATATAAGGACTTGACTTTTATATTTTTTTAAATTAATAAACATTTCTAAAAAATGGTTAGTTTTCATCAAAACACAATATTAAATAACATAAATTATGAAAATAATAAACCGTCACACTCTGTCACCATATAGATTTAGCTTCCCTGATAACCACAGTTTCAGATCAACCAAGTTGGTGTCAGATAGTTGCCACCAACTTACCGACAACTTGCGGTCAACTTCCGAATTTGAAACTGTTGGCGTCAAGTTGGCTACAAGTTTCTGAGAAAAACAAGACCAATCTACTGCCGCAATATGTCGCCAAATTTCTCGAGAAACTTGTCGTCAACTTGGTGCGAAAGAGTTTCGAAAACAATTTTTGCCGACAACTTGGCGACAACTTGGTGAACAACCGAGTTCATTTCCAAGACTTGCCGCCAACTTGGTGACAAGTTGCGGCAGCAAATCGACGGAAAGTTGCGACCGGTTTGGCTATCAGGGTGCGGACGTAGATTGACAGTAAATTATAGGTAAGGTGGCTATCAGGGTTATTTTCCTAGATTTCCTACTCTATCGATGACCCAATGATTAATTTTTCTTATCGGTTAATAACATTTCTTCCATACCTACGACCATCGCCATAACACTCTTCTAGGAATAAATGATCATGAGAGAAAATATTTACATTTGCAAACATAAGTCAAGTATCAAATGTAAACAAACGATCGTGTCCGCAATAATAAAGAAGTTTTTAATGTTTAAAGAAGAAATAACATAATAAATTTATTGTCAATTATGGCTGATACGAACGGTAAGTTATTACGAATATATAAAATATATATATACATTAAAAGTAACCTTTGTTTTTACAGTAAATTAAGTTGTAAGTGCAAGATAACCTAAAAAAAAAAATGACATTAAAGTTAGCAGTCACTAAAGAATTTTTTAATTTTTTTTTAACAACCAAATTTATTCAAAAAAGTTACTTTTGAAAAATTGCATTTTTTTATTTTATTTTTAAAAATGTTTATAAGTCAATTTTTTTTTCTAATTTTTTTGCCATGATTTATTTAGAAAATCAAAATTCTAAAAATTATTAAATATCGGCTAAATTTATTTTCATAAAAAAAAAAACTAAAATATTTATTAAGGTGAAATCTACAGACATTTAAAAATTTTTTTAAATTATTATTACAAATCGATTATAGAAAAAAGTATTTTTAAAAAATTTGCATGTGTAATTCTTTTAAATTTCTCGATATCAAATTTTTTTTTTTTTTTTTTGCAATAATGTAGTTGTTAAAAATCCAAAAAATTGACAGACGTCTGTTAATTTCTGTATCATAAATATTTGTAAATAATTTTATTTTTTATTAATAATAATAATTATTGTTAATGTTGATTTTTTTTTTTCAACAGAAATAGAAAAAAGTGTTTTAACAATAATACTGGATGTAAATCCTCTGCAGCGCTTGGTCAGAAATGACCCCAAAGTAATGACGCAGTGTATTGATGCAGTTATAGTCTTCGCAAATGCACATTTGATGGAATCGTCAATGAACGAGCTGGCAGTTTTAGCTTGTCATGGCCAGGGCGCTAAATTTTTATACCCAAAACCCGATAAGCCGATTGAGATACGTCAGTTCGATGGCCAGTATGAAAAGTTAACTCTAGTTGAACGAACAGTTCGCTTTCAGTTACAGGAAACTATCAATGAGTTATTACAGTGTGGTAATTTGCGTAACGAAAGCTTAATATCTGGCGCGTTATCATTAGCGCTCTGCTATATATCACGTTTGGAGCGTGATAAAGCGCCCGGTGAAAAATTACATTCTCGAGTATTAATTGTTACAGGAAGTAATGACTCTGCGACGCAGTATATGAATTATATGAATATCTTCTTCACATCGCAAAAAATGGTAAGATTTATTTTTACTTTTTATTCTTCTAGGTTTTATTTAATAATAATAATATAGTTTTAAGTAAGTCTTGGATGAATAAAACATCGGGCTTTTAAATATAATCATCTGCCCGGGCATAAATTAATATTAAATGTTATAATTTTTAATTTGTTCACTATTTTTATTCATATAAACATCCAGTCAAACAAATTAGAAGCGTTGCTGGATTGTTTCAAATTCAATGCAGTGAGCGAACAATTTAGTTAATTTCTGATGTTAATTAAACACGACGTATGTGAACATTAACTTTAATTTCATGCTAAATATTCAATGCAATTAATTCGCAGTCTTGACATTTATTTTCCACTATTCCAACAGAAGCATAGCTCCGAATTAGCATACAAAATTATGTTAAGTTTGCATACTTTATGTGTTAATTTCATTCAAGCCGAAACTGCAAAAAACAACGCAGTGATTTTATTGAAAAATAAACATACATCATCTTGAAAAAATTTTTTTATAATTGAAACTAGTAACCTTGCAGTCACTATGTGACTACCGTGACTTGTGAGCTATATGAATAAATACAATTTTGCTTTATTAAATAATGACTTTCATTAAATTTATTTATTTATTTATTTATTTATTTATATAAAGAAACGCCCTCGGCAATTTACAAGAATATTTTCATTCTTGTGTAGAATGTTTATTAAAGTATATATACCATAAATATAGCATTATTTTATAATCACTATTTGTATTTGTATTTGTACACTAGAAATGTTGTTATTATTATTATTATTATTATTATTATTATTATTTTACAGTATTTTGTTTTTATCTGACCAGTTGGTTGTTTATAAATTTTATTTCAAATTGTAAATTTTTACTGTATTTACAATTATTATTGGCTGTCTGGCCTAGAACACTTGCAAATTGCACTAATATTTATAATAATTTTTTTGCCGGAACCTTCCGCGCATAAACAATTATTTTTTTATTCGTAGAATTTGTCATTAAAGATAATTTCAACTGAAAAAATAATTCGGACGGCCCAGACCAGGACTCGAACCTGGATCTTTTGGTATCGCGCCATATTAGGTCAATTTGCAAGCGTTCTAGGCCAGACAGCCAATAATAATTGTAAAAAGTTTGGAAAATCCAAAAGTGCACGACTCATAATGCTCATTTAATTATAAAATATTAAAAAAAAA